ACTTCACTCTACCTAGCCTCTATTTAAAATACCCTTGATAGAAAAATAAAATAAGCTTCCAGACCTTCTCTTCTCAACTCCAACCACCCCGGCCTTCTCCTTTCCTTTCCTTTTCTATCCTTCCTCCTTCCACTCACGCCAGCCACACCCAAAGCCAACTGCAGCTGTCCCAATCTTTTCCTTCCCAGTCAAGCTCCTGTAAGCACTCTCAGGCAGTCCCCGCTACATATTTATATATTATAGGTAAATAATGGAATTGTATTAAAAAGAGGAGATGCTCGGCTAGTACCCCAAACTGCACTCGATGAGGTGGTTAAGAAGGGAGATGGGATGTAGGGAGGTGGAAAGGAGGAAAGAGGAGAGGTTGTGGGTTTAGGGGGAGGAAGGAAGAGGAAAGTGAATGAGGGTGGATGCAAGGCGGGGACTGCCGAGCATCTCCGAAAACGTATTGAGTAGGATTATCTTTTTTGCTTGTGTAAGTAAATGCATCATATTTGTATTATTTGTTGTTTAATTTCAAAAATTAATAAAAAAATTATATATATAAAAAAAAAAATATGTGTCCTATTTCGCCCTCTCTCTATTCTCTTCAGATGGATTATATCAGGGCCGGGCTCCCCCGGCCCCTCCCTATGCTGTGGTTCTGATCTCCTGCTCAGGCTTGTTGGCCTTTATCTTCCTCCTCCTCACCTGCCTGTGCTGCAAGAGGGGTGATGTGGGTTTCAAGGTGAGCTAGATGGTGGAGATGGGAAGTGGGCATGATGTGTTTTTGAAACAAAGATCTTTAAAAAAAATGCCTTTGTCTACCCAATAGGAATTTGAGAACCCTGATGGAGAAGAATATTCTGGAGAGTATACACCACCTGCCGAGGAGACATCCTCCTCCCAGTCCATCCCAGATGTCTACATTCTGCCTCTTTCTGAGGTTTCACTCCCATCTTCCAGTCAACAGATGCCCAAAACAGGTAAATTTTCTGAGGGAACTGGGTCATATTATTATCCCCCTCTTCATTTGTGATATTTTTCATATTGCCCTTGCAATATGAGGATTGGCAGCACTTGCTACTGTTTCTTGGGAGAATATACTAGTGTGGTTCTAAGCCGGCCATCTCAAACCTGATGTCCATTAGATGTGTCTCCACTACCTGAATCTTGAAATGATGGGAGCACCAGGTTGGGGAAGGCTGCTTTAGACCTTGGCGTCTTTATAATGAAAATACTATAAGCTTTGCATAAAAGTAGCAGAAGAGTAGAAATCCAGGGTTTGTTTTTTCATAGGATGGGAATGTCTCTAGTAATTTATTACTTGAGCATTTGCTGTGTCCTAACCTAGGATTCTAGTTGACCTGGTTTTACCTTGTCTTTCTATTTTGGACATTCACTGTCACTTTTGCATTTTCTTCCTGTTGTGGCACCTGCTGTTTCTTCTGTATAACTTCCCTTGTATTGTTTGTCTGTCATCTTTCTCTCTTGTCTTTCTGATCTCATCTACATGTACATTGTTGACTTTTCTGACCCACTGGCTTATGCAGTGATCCGTCCTGATCTCTATATCTCCCTCAACTTCAAATCACTTTCATTTTTGGAAGCCCCAGGAATCCTGTCCCCAATCTGCTTTAGCTTTAAATGAGACCATCTTACCCTTTTCCATCTCATGAACACTTTCCCACATCCATTTCCACATACAGATAGGCCTCGACCTACGACCACAATTGTGCCCAATGTTTTTGTTGCTAAGCAAGACGGTTGTTAAGTGAGTTTTGCTCCATGCTACAACTTTTCTTGCCACAACTGTTAAATGAATTGCTGCAGTTGTTAAGCTAGCAACTGGGTTGTTAAGTGGATCTGGCTTCCCTATTGACTTTGATTGTCAGAGGGTCGCAAAAAGGGGATCACATGACCCTGGGACACTGCAGCCGTCATAAATATGAACCAGTTGCCAAGCATCAAAATTTTGATCACGTGACCATGGGGATGCCGCAATGATTGTTAAGCATAAAGTAAGCCCCTTTTTTCAGTGCTGTTGTAACTTCAAACAGTCACTAAAGACATGGTTGTATGTCAAGGACTATCTGTGATCTGTCTACAATGACTTCTTGTAGACACACTGTCTGGAGAACATCACATTATGGAAAACTGTTCTAGCTTATCTCACAACACATTTTTTTTTGATCTAATACTTTTGGGGCATGGGGAAAGTCAAAATGGAGCTAACTCTTAGCCTGTGTCCTCTGCGCAGCATCCTTGATTCCCATTATTGGAATTCCCATCTTCCTCTTTCAGATTTAGTGAAACACTTGGGTCTAAGTAGACAGCACCTCAGTTATCTGCAGGAGATTGGAAATGGCTGGTTTGGAAAAGTAAGTAAGAAAAATTCAGGTTTTTTGTGGATGTGATTTAAGAATGAAATTCAGGCAACTGCTTTCATGCTTTGTAGCAAGAGTTGACTTGAATCCCATAAATAGGATAGGAATGTGCAACTTATTGGCTGTATGATGAAAATCATTCATTTATTATGATTATTTCTAAACAATGTTATAAAGATAACCTTGAGAGAGAGAAAAAAAACTTCCAGAATAGTTTTGCAACAAAAGAACAAGATGCAAGGGCCTTTTACACATGTGTGGAGTAACATTCTAACAATCAGTTAAAAACCAGCAGCCAAATAAAGAAAAAAGCTCAGCCATTAATTGCGAATTGCAAAATTTAATGCAGAAAGTAATTAAATATTAGGTCACAGAAAATACCCTACAAGGAGCAAGAATTTCTTTCATTGTGAGTGAGAGTACTAGGCAACATTTCTTTTTGACAAAGAAGGAACCATCATTTCAAAGACTTTGTGCCCAGCCTTTACTTGATAAGGCTTCTCCCAGTATACCCAGTGACGCAATGGGGAATGTAAATTGAGGTTTTGGATGGGAGATTGGGCCTTCCAAAGTTGATCACACAGTTTTTGCAGATTTGAACAGTCAAAGGAGAAGAGTAAGAAAATAAAAATTAATCCATTGACTTTGTTGTAGAGCCATTTTATTTTATAAAAATTAGAAAAACTCTACTTTTCCAAATTTTAATTTTATTTATTCAATTTCTATAGCCACCCATCTCAATCAGTGACTCTGGATGGCTTACAATTCCAAAAGTATAAAAACAATTAAAACAAGAAACAAACATTTTAAAAACAGTGCAAACATTCATATTGCTCAGGAAAAAGAAAAAAAAAAACACCTATTCAAAAACACCTTGGGCCTGAATACTTTCAGGCATTCTTAAGCTGTTTCTCCTTTGCCTTCTTGTATCTTCCTTTATTGCATCCCTTATAATAAAAGTAATTTTTCAGCCGCCCAGGAGCCAAGCTGTTTAGAGTTGTATAGATAATTAAATTGTACCTGGAAATCAATTGGCCATCAGTGAGTTCATCAATGACTTTAATGACTAATGAGATATGATCTACATAGCCAGTTCAAGTTAATAACCAGGTATCAGTAGTTCATAGTGGTTTCTCTTTCATAGTCCCCCCCCCTCTTTCCTAGGTTATTCTGGGTGAAATATTCTCAGATTTCACCCCTGCACAGGTGGTGGTGAAGGAGCTGCGTGTTAGTGCTGGACCACTGGAGCAGAGGAAGTTCTTGTCAGAGGCCCAGCCTTATCGGTAAGTAGCAGAAGCTGATACGAGGGTGAAAACCGAGTAAGGAATCTCCATAGGAAATACAGATAGTCCTCAACTTATGACCACAATTGAGTCCCAAATTTATGTTGCTAAGTGAGACATTTGTTAAGTTTTGCTCCATTTTATGACCTTTCTAGCCACAGTTGTTTAAGTGAGTCACTGCAGTTGTTAAGTTAGTAACAAGGTTGTTAAATGAATCTGGCTTCCCCATGGACTTCTCTAAGCAGAGCTCTGTCACGGCTCAGAAATCTCTTTTCTGGCTGTTAGAGGTGTTGGAGTTTGGGGATGCTCCAATGAGCTGCTAGCAAATTGTTGGTTATAACAGAGAACACGGAGGAATTGTCCAAAAATAGAAGCAGGGATTTCCCTATGTAGGTTATGATTCACTGAGATTCTTGTCCGGTCATCCAGAAATACTAGGGGTTTTTTTTCTCCTGCTTTTTGTGTATTTCTCTCCCCATGTCTCTACCTTGCCTTCAAGAAGCCTCCAGCATCCAAACATACTACAGTGCCTCGGCTTATGCACAGAAACAATACCCTTCCTCCTGATCATGGAATTCTGCCAACTGGTAAGTCAACTGGAGCATAACTGAAAATCAGATTTGAGAATTACTGAAGACCAAGTCCTATTGTCATGAATCTGGAATGCCCAGGGCACC